GATCATGTATTATTATAATACGTGGTTATAAATTTTGGATTATGATCATATAATATAATGGGCGTTGAGACTTAAATTGCAGATTTAATTTATCAAAGTTTTTTCAATACTGTATCTAATTAATTCTTGGTAAAAAGTAGAAATATTGAATGAAGAAAAAAGAGGACTTCCCAATTAAAATTGTAAATCATGATTACAATGTCAACATCTAAATTAAAATCAAGAAATCGCTTTTTGTCAAGTTCAATTTTATTAGTAAATAGAATCAAATTTAATTGCGATCAAAATTGATCATTAGACATATGCACATGAAATTATCAGATATTTTATAGAGATTTTTTAACAATGAGTGTAAATTTTGTTTACATTCTTATGGGTTCCGTACCAATGTTTATCCGTTAGACGGCGACGCGGCGCTTTGATATTGCGTCTCTAGGCAGCTAAAGCAATGCGATTAACTTTAAAAAAAAAGTTCTAAATTTCCAAAATATTTCAAACTAAGAAAAAAATTTTTTTTCAAAAGTTTTTTCCAAGAAAGTTTTTTTTTTCAAAATGTATAGTTTCTTAAAAATCTAATTTTTCAAATTAATTTTGTTTCAATAATGTTAATCTTTCAAAAAAAAAAAAAATTAGTACGGAAGGTTCTAGCAATTTGCCTTAAGGCACGATGCTATGCGCCCCAATAGTTTATTTTTAAATTACTATAACTTACCCTACGAGAAGTTAAAAATCTCATTTCATTATAAAAAGCAGCAAAACGGTGTAAAAATTTTACTACATAACAAAGTGTAGCGTATCATCTCGGATGATGTTTATTTTGATTTTATACTTTATAAACGCTATTTCGTATAATAAAGAAAATGGCTAGAAGAAATGGGACATTCACGTGGTATATTTTGCGATGGAGCGTTACGTAATTACACCGTGCTTCATGGCAGAGTGCAATTCCTCATCACATCATATCAAGGAAGCACTTAATATATAAAACAGCAAATGATGTACTTCGAGTTGAACTATGCGCATTTTTTTCTAACGCTTTTTCAACTATTCGTTTGCTGCGGAAAATCGTTTTGTGGTATTTAAAACGGGAAAACTCATAATTTTCTCTTTTCGCTTATTTTTGTTTGCAAGGTATATTTGTAAATCTAGAGAACATTTAGAAATAAAATGTACTTTCAAGAATTCTTTTCATATAAATTTGTTATACGAATAATATCGATTCGAATCAGAAAAATTTTCATTATCATAATAAATGCGAATAATCTAAGCATTTGTTAGAAAAATAAAGACAATTTTTTCATGGCACTTGCGTTGTTCTATAATGCATTATCCATTTCAATCACTGACTTTTTGTCCTCTTTTATCCTTATCCCAATTCGATGAAACTTCTTGTACTTATTAGCAAAATACTGTATCAAGTAAAACTTGACAGCTTCATAATTACAGTTTTTTTTTAATTTATGGAATTTTGTAAAGATTGCAACTAAATGTATGATGTATCATATGTTCTAGGAACAAGACTATGTAATGGATGTAGCAAAACATCCCAACCAAGTTCCAATAATTTTTGCCGAATTGTCAAAGATGGAATATGTCAAGAATAAAATAAAAAACCGCTTCGATTTGTTAATTCAGACTGTTAACTGTTAAATGTTAAGTCTACTTCAATTTCTTAAACTGGACGACCAGAGTGTTTTTCTTCTTTGAGTGAAAAATCACCAGAACGAATATTGGCAAACACAATACTGCAACCAATTGATTTAATCCTTCAACGAAAACTATTCAATTGATCATAAAACTCTTTTTTCTAGATTGACAGCGACTATCCATCCAATAACAAAACAACAAATGTATTTTACATTTGGACTACGTCAGCAAACCTAACAATTTAATTAAAGGCATAAAAACAAACAAGCGCACTTATTTAGTTTTCAATCTATTATAATGCAAACTAATAGGGGAACGTCCCTAAGTGGCGGACACCTAAGGTTATTTATAAATAAATCAAAAAATATTTTACGAAATGTTTATTGACTTATGATTTATGTTAGATAACAAAGTTAGAAATCAAACTGAATTAACAAAACCGCAATCTTTGCTAAAAAATAATTAATACTATCAATCAAACTTTGCTATCAAAAAATATGATTTTAAACAGTGGCACCTAATACCGGACATTTCAAAATAACCTGCATTGATCACATATGCAGCCATCTCCGCGCTCTGTAATGTCTGCATGTGTGTCTTTGACAAATATTCTTAGATATGGCAAAAAAATCACTATTCATCCGCCCTTTTGGCTGGGCCACACCGATTCTCTCCGCTGGTGCATTCATAGGTTTTGTTTTTTTTTGACTGGGAAATACGATAAATGTAACTGTTAGCACTGAATAAAATTAAATAATTGGAATAAATTGCGTAAATTCTAACAAGAAGTATCAATATGTTTACTGTCCGGCACTAAGGGACGACTTTGTGTCTGGTGCTAAGGGAAAGACATTTTCGTTCATTTGATGGCACCTACTAAAATTGGTTAAAATATCTAATGATATTCTACCATTTTACGGATAACAATCAAGAACAACTTTTATCTTTGCACACCACTCAAATGTAAATGCATAAATATTCTAGAATTACTTCCATTGATATTTAGGTGACGCCGTGATTTTGCGCCTAAAACAGGAAAGAGTTGCTCCCGTCGTGGCCGTGTGCGTCACAGGCGAGGCTTGGCGCGTGATTATACACCTGTGTGCCCCCCGCGCCTGTTTCACTTGTATTTTGAGATAAAAAGATTTATACTCGCTTAAATAATACGTGTTAAATAGAGTATCCGGCTTTAAGTGCCATCCGACGTTACGGGATTTCCCCCTATGTTTGAAAGTGTGTATATGAGTGTGAGTGAATGATAAAAGCCAAATAGCACATGGGATTGCACCGTATTCTGATTGCTGTTGAAAATTAAATACGAAAAAATATGTTTGTATTCAGTTTTTCTTGTTTTATTTTATACAGCAAACTATACACTCAGTACATTCAGCTACTTTAAAAGGTAGTGAATTAAGTGATCAAATTTTTATTGTTTATTTCATCGGTTTGTAAATCTAGTTTTGAACAATTAGGAAATTAATCAAATTGTTTTGAGCCTATTATGCATGATTAGTACCTAATAAATTATCAAAAATGGTTAGCGAAGAATTGAGTAACCGATGTAATGAAAGAAATAGTTAAGGCGAAACCTACGAGGTAACGCATAGCCGTATAAAAATATCGATAACAAATCACCTTATTCGCGAATGATTTGTCACAGCACGCAATTTTCTGTAATATTATACCTATGAGGTATCTATCATCTTTTGAAGTATCGCATTCCATTTCAGGCCATCGTCGCATCGAGTTCGAGCGCTTCAAAGGATGTTTCGCGGAATGCGTTGGACGATTTTGAAGAACCTGATATCATTTCGAGGACTCAGCGAAGTGGTGGTGCCAACACGACCGCCACTGTATTGAATTTGACGAAACCTCCAGCCGAATCAGAATGGACCGTGCACAATAGTGCAGTGCAAATTACAGGAATATCATGATATCAGGCCGAAGTAAAGAATTTAGTTTAAGTAATAATAGACACATAACGCATGTAGGCTTTTTGCCGTGTAAATAAATTTAGATAATTTCATAAAAATCAATTCGCGGGATTTATTCTCGTGTCGTTTTTTTGAATTTTGAAACCATCGGATCATGCCTTAATATAAAAAATATTGCATATGTTTTGTTTAATGTAAAAATCTATTAAAGTTTACTCACAGAATTTTACAGAGAGACAAAACACTCAGTTGACCTATTCTCGCGAGCGTCATTTATACGATACGATTTATTTATTTAAAATTCAAACTTATTGTAAATTTTAGTTTTTAGAAGTATTTTTTTTAGATTTAAATATTTTTATGGATAATAGTTAAAAATAATTAAAATATTCAGTGTAATAAATACTTGAGCAGCTTGCTGACTCAAACAGATATAAATTTGTCAATATTGTTGTTAATTTTTAGTTAGCTGGGAAATCATATGGTTTTTATTTGCAGTATATAACAATAATAAATTCGTAAAATTCAGTTACCTGAAAAACTGGTTAAAAATCAACAGAAAATCCATTGTATCTTTTAAATATTTTATGTATATTTCATACAAACCTTTGTTTGTAGTTTGAAAAAAAAAACATATTTTCAAAAAAAATCTTTTTAGAAATGATTTGACATTCCGTATTTGGGGACTGATTTAACTAGCGTACGTAATTACATCAAAACCGTTATATTAAATGCTCAAAATGATAGTTTTGTAAATGACCTAATAATTTTGTATTGGAGAACTATTATAGTTACTAACTCACTAAAAAATTACCACTCGAATATAACATATATTCAGGTGACTTCAATTGTGACTGATGCGTAAAAAATATGGTATCACATTTAACAAAATTCAAGCAAATATAAGTGTACACTTTTAAAAAGTTGACAATGTCATTTTTAAACTGCTTTATACTTCACATTTTTAGGTTATTTATAAACCTTTTGTAATTAGATATATTGATTTCAGTCTTATATTTAATTGTTGGCTACTTAAGTAAAAATAATATAGTTAAAATTGAATTTTAATACTTAAAAGTGGTTGTCAAGAAACATATTTACTCAAATCTTATTATTCATCGTCATGCATTTTCAGTATTTAGTTTTTAGAACAGCCTGTGCATATCAGATTCCATTCATTTTCGAAATTGTGTAGTTCAATAACAATAAAATATAGAGCAACTTTCAACTCAAAATATAAATATATAATTTAAAATTTCATTTCATTAAAAAAAAGAAATAAAAAATATGCAGAGAACAAATTTTCTCAATCCTATTATATATGCCAATAATGTACCAAAAAAGTATTTTGTTGGTCCAGAAAATGTAGAAAATTTTGTAAAGTTTTTTTATAAAAAAGCGATTTCAAATACGTTTAAACATTCAAATTATTGTATCAAAAAATGATTCTTTATTTATTTAATATGCTATTAACGACTCTAACTACAAGTTATTCAATAACAAGTATATTATGTTTGATTAATCATGTAAATATGTTATAAAAACTGTAAGTAAATTACATACTTGTTATTCAAAAGATTATATTACATGTTGAAATTGTTTATCTTAAGGTTTTTTTAAAACTGAATTTGACCAAATTTTTATCATTAGTGTTACTTAGAAATTTTATAAAATAATAGAAAATTAAAAATTGGTAAAAAAACAATTGATTGAATTAAAAATTGGAGAAAAGTAATTTATTTTTTAAAACTAATCGATACTACCGCTCTCTAACTTAAAAAGAATTAAGAAAAATTAGAGAATATATTGTAAATACAAGGTATTTTCACGTTTTCACAGAATTGGGATTACTGTCTGTTTATTACAATATTTTAAAAGTAAAAAAGTACTCTAAACAAAAATTGAATACATATACTAGAATATCAAGCTTAAAAATACTAATTTTAGAAGTAAATTAATTGATGGCGTTTAGGTAATAATAACGGCAGCTAATGATTTACATTAATTTTGTATATGTATAATAGTGTAATAAAATTCGCGTATTAATATACCATGCACACATAAGAGAAATGATTTTATATCATTTTATTCTAAAAGAAAAGCAATTATTTTTTACAATGTTTTTATAAAAAAAAATATGTATGTTATCGAATTATGAAAACTATCAATTACAACTCAATACAATTTAATTATGTGTGTGCTTTATATATAATTTATAAAAATTTGTATGGCAATATATTTTTAATCTGCAATGATTAATAATTGATTGAATAAACTCGCTAATGTATACTTATTTAAAATAATATTTCCTACTGTTTGTAAAAAGCATTAGAAACTTGTAAAAATATGTAATTTAATAATGCGTGTTACGGAACAATGCTTTTAATGTAAATATTATTTATGTGAGAAGGGCGCGAACTTTGTGCCGTATGAATTACGTTTAAAATATAGTATGTACTGTAAATAAAATGTAAATATTGTAAATATTTATGTGAAAATATCTTAAATTATATTTTTTTGTCATAAATTGAATAAAATTAACAGTTATTTATCTATACAATATCAAAGTTATTTCATTTATTCGAATGCTATAACTTTCAAGACCTATGAAACCCACAAAAGTATAATTTAGTCATCAAAATTATATAAAGCATAACCAAAATGGTTTGGGTATTTACCAGATGAATATAACACGTAAAATATCATACGTAAAATGTGTAAAAAATAAATTTATTGAATGGTGTATATTAGACGTTAGCATTACAAATATTGACCAAAATTTATTACCTCTCTCTTATACAAATAAAATCGGCATGAATAAATAAACATTTTAAAGCTACATTGTAGTACAAATCTTAATTTAATGAAAGATGCCTGAATCAGAAGAATATTTACCCTATTCCTTGAAAACAATGAAACGAGTCAAAAGAGTAAATAATGATGTTTTGATCCTTCTGGATCAATTGCTACGTACTAAAAACTCAACAACCATACAAGTCTCATTATTATTTGAAAGATTTTTAGATTATTAAAGATTTTTATTATTTAAGTTTTATCGGTATATTGTATTGAAATTAAACTAAAAATATTATATAGTGAAAATTAAATTTAAAGAAAAAATTTTTGGAGATCTTGAACATTATGAAAACAATTTAAAACTATTAATCAATGTACGTAATGTAATGTAAAAATTAATTATGTTTTCGGTAAGCATATATAAAAAATGGCGTTTTGCCTTAAGGCAAGTTACAAAAACTTCCGAAGGGTGTAATAAAATTTTCAACTGTTTATTTCGAAAATAATGTTTTCACTACTCTCAAACACGTTTACAATATTTGGAATTATAATAATTAAAGTGTACAAATACATAATGGTATGTTTTGAAAGCGCACATCAAACTACATTTTAATGAATTTATAATTTTATATTTATTATTTCAACCAATTTTAGGACTGTTTAGTGCACAAAGGTTGAGACCATGTTAAACTAGGGTAGAGCGGGGCTACTTGAGCATAGGGGCAAGTTGAGCAATCGAAATATCTCGAAAACTATTCACCGTCGGTTTAGGCATTATATGGCAGAAAGATAGAGTTTTGGGAGATTTAACATCCCGCGATCGCTAGTGGCCGCTGGACAAATAAACAAGTTTTGTTTATTTTGAGACCAAAAAGTAAAAAAGTCATCCATCACGAGTTTTCGTCTGGTTTAGTCAAATGTTATTTATTTTTAATCAGATAAATGTTGTTCTTCTATATAATTATAGTACTTTTAATATGCACAGAGATTCTGGGTATGATTCTCACGGTTTTTTTATGAACTCACTTTTATTTTGAAATTCCGAGTTGGGGTTAGTTGAGCATGGTTGCTAAACTTGTTCTGTCACTAAGACAATTACCGTTAACTTCTAGAAATTAAATATTATTTTTAAGATTTAAGCTAAGTCTATGAGTAATAATATAAAGAAATAATGATTTTAAACAAAAATACTGAATATAATGGTAAAATAATACCTAAGATACGATATTGTTTTGTTAATTCTACTTTTTGTTAATTATTCAAAGCAAATTACTATAAGTTTTGTTTTCTCTGTCAATAAAGACTATAAATATAGAACTGGTTATTAAAAACTTATTTTATTTCATCACTAATCGACATTGAACTTATGATTTCATTAAACTTTCTGCTCAACTTGCCCCACCTATGGGGTACATTGAGCATACTTGACTTTTAGCATTTAAATAGCTGTAGCTTTTAAATTTTACTTATTACCAAATAATAGTATTAACACTTTTGTTAAGCGATAAACAACAAATCCATTAAGCCGTATAGCAATTTATTGAGACTTTTCATTGAGGAGCTACATCCGTTTAATTAAAAATTTGCTCAACTAGCCCCGCCCTACCCTACCGAAGCATTTAAGAAACCTAATAAATTAATTTATTAATTTACCTAATATCACATCAGAAAAATGACCTTTGACACAAATTGTGACTATATTTTTTCAAACTTTGATAATAAAATTAATGACTATTAAATTTTTGAAATCGGTTAACTGTTTTTAAGAAAACGTGAACAAAGGGTCAAAAATTGTCTCACGCACATACAGCCATACATACAAACACACACAAACTTATTCTAAATTTGATCTCGTTAGATTCAGATTGATCTGAGATATCGAGACGGTACAATTTTAGCAAATCGAATTCTTGGCCGAAAACGGAACCTTCTTCAGTACTTAATTAAGAATAAAAACCGACGATTATTTATAAGTTTCATATGCATATGCCGAAAGTAATTTTTGAACCGCAAAGCCATGTATTCACTTTATCCGAAACCGCTTCATCTGCTTTTGCAAAAAGAAGTTATTAACTACTCACACCCTCATCACAAATTGAATATTTTTAAAATAATTGTAATCCCGACACGTAAATTAATTTTCATAGTTAATTAACTCAATTTATCTTAAATTTTCATAGTTAATTAACTATGATGATTTCAAA